TTATATGTAAGGGTGTAGGTCTATACATATGTTGTATATAGTATGTTTAAATGTGTGTTATGTAAGTGTACACTTTGAGAGCAAGCAACTAAATTTCATTTTTAATGTATGCCATTGTGCCTGCATTAAAAAATGACAATAATGTTTGGTTTATCTATCTACTATCTATCTTATCTATCCATCCACCACTATCTATCTATCTACCACTATCTACCTCTATCTATCTATCTCTACCTCTATCTACTACTATCTACCTCTATCTATCTGTCTCTACCACTATCTACCTCTATCTGTCTTCTACCACCATCCATCTACCTACCTACCACTATACCTACCTACCTACCTCTATCGATCTATCTCTACCACTATCATCTATCTATCTACTATCTACCTGTCTATCTCTACCTACCTACCACTATATCATCTACCTACCTACCACTATCTTATCTATCACTATATCTATCTCTACCACTACCTATCTACCAGTATCTACCTCTATCTAGCTCTACCTACCTACCACTATGTATCTATCACTATATCTATTTACCACTATCTTCTCTAATCTATCTATCTATCTATCTATCTATCTATCTATCTATCTATCTATCTATCTATCTCTACCTCTATCTACCACTATCTACCTCTGTCTGTCTATACCTACCTACCACTATATCGATTATCTACCTACCTACCTACATCTTATCTATTACTATCTATATCTTATCTATCACTATCATATATATACTATCTACCTACTTGTCTGTCTATCTAGCTCTACCTACCTACCACTATATCGATTATCTATTTACCTACCACTATATCGATTATCTACCTATCTACCTACCTCTATGTATCTATCACTATATCTATTTACCACTATCTTCTCTAATCTATCTCTACCACTATCTGTCTCTGTCTATATCTACCTACCTACCACTATATCGATTATCTACCTACCTACCTACATCTTATCTATTACTATCTATATCTATCACTATCTCTATCATATATATACTATCTACCTGTCTGTCTATATCTATCTAGCTCTACCTACCTACCACTATATTATCTATCTACCTACCTACCACTATTTACCACTATATGTATGTATGTATGTATCTCTATCTCTCTGTCTATTTAATGCTTGGGGGTCCTGCCTGCGAAGGCTCTTGAGGCAAAGCCTGGGATGCCTCCGGCTCGGCTCGGAGCCCAAACTCACCCAGCTCCTGCAGGGGCTTCTCCATGTCGTCCTCGGTGAAGACCCGCCGGGGAAAACTCGTCAGGAGGTGAAAGGGGTCTTCCCCGCCGTCTTGGCGGTTCAGCTCCACGTAAAGCCGTACGGCTGCCAGCTGTTCCTTGGCTTTGAAGGTGTGGGTCAGGGAGGTGCCATCCAGGAGTCTCACCTGTTGGGAGCATCGACTTTGCTGGTCAGGACGGTCGCGAGAGGGGATCGTGTGACCCCCCCCAGGCCACTGCGACCGTCGTAAATAGGAGCCATTGACCAAGGGTCCGAATTTCGGCCACGGGATCGCTGGGCATTTTTAAGTGTGGAAAACGGGCCATAAGTCACTTAATGCCGTCGTTAACTCTGAGCGGTCACTAAACGAATCCTTTTTTTTGAGTCGAGGACTGCCAGTACAAAAAGGAGTCCTTTTATCTCCGTTTCGGATTTTGCTGTGAGCAAAACGGGAGCCCGAGGCATCCCGGATCCCAAGTTCCCAGCGCCTTACCTGGATCTTGCACTGATCGTATTCCCGCTTGACGGGGGGCTCCTGGCTGGGGGAGGAGATGAGCACGGGGTCCACCTGCTCGGGCAGGGCGGAGGCCTGGGTGGCGCTGCTGCAGCCAAACTGGGGGGGGGCGAGAACCAGGGAGGAGAGCAAAGGTCACCCGCCAAGCTAAGCCAGTCTCCCCCTCAGTAATTTTGAGAGGGGTGGACTTCAACTCCCAGAATTCCCTGGCTAGGATGAGGGAGGGAAAGAAAGGGAGGGGAAGGGAGGAAGGAAGAATAGGGAGAGGGAAGGGAGGGAGGAGGAGAGGGAGGAGGAAGGAAGGGAAGAAAGCAAGGAAGAATAGGGAGGAAGGGAGGGAAGAAAGAAAAGGGAAGAGGAGGAAGGAATAGGAAGTGAAGAGGAAGGAAGGAAGAATAGGGAGAAGGATGGAAGGAAAGAAGGAAGGATAGGGAAGCAAGGAGGAAAGGTAGAGGAGGGGCAAGGGAAGAAAAAATAGAGGGAAGAAAGGGAGGAGGAAAGGGAGAGGAAGGAAAGAAAGCAAGGAAGAATAGGGAGTGGGAGGGAGGAAAAGAAAGGGAAGAGGAAGGAATAGAAAGAGGAAGGAGTGAGGAGGAAGGAAGGAAGGAAGGAAGAATAGGGAGAAGGAAGGAGGAAAGGGGAAGAAAGGAAGGATAGGGAGAAGCAAGGAGGAAAGGTAGAGGAGAGGGGCGAAGGAAGGAAGGGAAGAAAGAATAGGGAGAGGAGGAGGGAAGGAAGGAGAGAGGAGGAAAACCGTAAGACTAGTCTAAATAAAAGTTTTTTAAAAAACATTTTCTTCCCTCACCTTCTTGGCTCTCTCCGCTTTGTCCCGTTCAATCTTCTCTCGCACTCGCTGCCTGAAAAAAGGAATGGATGTGTGTGTGTGTGTGTGTGTCAACGCTGGAAGGATCCCCTTACTCATTTCAGAGTTGGGGGGAGGGGAAATGACATCCACCAATGCTGGAGATCTTGGAAGGATGGGAAGAACGTCGGGAGGGGGGGGGGGAGACCGTGGGACGAAGATAAAGCAGAGGGACAAACCCCTTTTACCCAGAATGCAATGCTTCAGCCCCCCTTCCCCCCCCCAGGCCCACAATTGAGCTGAATTCAGCTTCCCGGCAGCCAAGAGGCCAACAGGGCCATGACTGAGGGATGCTGGGAGGCGTAGTCTCCTGTTTAAGCAGCGTTTAGAAACTTTTGAGACGGCTGGACTTCAACTCCCAGGATGCCTCAGCCAGCCAGCAGCCTCCTTAAAAGGAGGCTGGCTGGGGGATTCTGGGAGTTGAAGTCGCCCATCTTAAAGGCAGGNTTATATGTAAGGGTGTAGGTCTATACATATGTTGTATATAGTATGTTTAAATGTGTGTTATGTAAGTGTACACTTTGAGAGCAAGCAACTAAATTTCATTTTTAATGTATGCCATTGTGCCTGCATTAAAAAATGACAATAATGTTTGGTTTATCTATCTACTATCTATCTTATCTATCCATCCACCACTATCTATCTACCACTATCTACCTCTATCTATCTATCTCTACCTCTATCTACTACTATCTACCTCTGTCTATCTATCTGTCTCTACCACTATCTACCTCTATCTGTCTTCTACCACCATCCATCTATCTACCTACCTACCACTATACCTACCTACCTACCTCTATCGATCTATCTCTACCACTATCATCTATCTACTATCTACCTGTCTATCTCTACCTACCTACCACTATATCATCTACCTACCTACCACTATCTTATCTATCACTATATCTATCTATCTCTACCACTACCTATCTACCAGTATCTACCTCTATCTAGCTCTACCTACCTACCTACCTACCACTATGTATCTATCACTATATCTATTTACCACTATCTTCTCTAATACATCTATCTATCTATCTATCTATCTATCTATCTATCTATCTATCTATCTCTACCTCTATCTACCACTATCTACCTCTGTCTCTGTCTATACCTACCTACCACTATATCGATTATCTACCTACCTACCTACATCTTATCTATTACTATCTATATCTTATCTATCACTATCATATATATACTATCTACCTACTTGTCTGTCTATCTAGCTCTACCTACCTACCACTATCGATTATCTATCTACCTACCACTATATCGATTATCTACCTATCTACCTACATCTTATCTATTACTATCTATATCTTATCTATCACTATCATATATATACTATCTACCTACTTGTCTGTCTATCTAGCTCTACCTACCTACCACTATCGATTATCTATCTACCTACCACTATATCGATTATCTACCTATCTACCTACCTCTATGTATCTATCACTATATCTATTTACCACTTATCTTCTCTAATCTATCTATCTCTACCACTATCTGTCTCTGTCTATATCTACCTACCTACCTACCACTATATCGATTATCTACCTACCTACCTACATCTTATCTATTACTATCTATATCTATCACTATCTCTATCATATATATACTATCTACCTGTCTGTCTATATCTATCTAGCTCTACCTACCTACCACTATTTACCACTATATGTATGTATGTATGTATCTCTATCTCTCTGTCTATTTAATGCTTGGGGGTCCTGCCTGCGAAGGCTCTTGAGGCAAAGCCTGGGATGCCTCCGGCTCGGCTCGGAGCCCAAACTCACCCAGCTCCTGCAGGGGCTTCTCCATGTCGTCCTCGGTGAAGACCCGCCGGGGAAAACTCGTCAGGAGGTGAAAGGGGTCTTCCCCGCCGTCTTGGCGGTTCAGCTCCACGTAAAGCCGTACGGCTGCCAGCTGTTCCTTGGCTTTGAAGGTGTGGGTCAGGGAGGTGCCATCCAGGAGTCTCACCTGTTGGGAGCATCGACTTTGCTGGTCAGGACGGTCGCGAAAGGGGATCACATGACACCCCCCCCGGGTCACTGCGACCGTCGTAAATAGGAGCCATTGACCAAGGGTCCGAATTTCGGCCACGGGATCGCTGGGGGGCATTTTTAAGTGTGGAAAACGGGCCATAAGTCACTTAATGCCGTCGTTAACTCTGAGCGGTCACTAAACGAATCCTTTTTTTTGAGTCGAGGACTGCCAGTACAAAAAGGAGTCCTTTTATCTCCATTTCGGATTTTGCGGCGAGCAAAACGGGAGCCCGAGGCATCCCGGATCCCAAGTTCCCAGCGCCTTACCTGGATCTTGCACTGATCGTATTCCCGCTTGACGGGGGGCTCCTGGCTGGGGGAGGAGATGAGCACGGGGTCCACCTGCTCGGGCAGGGCGGAGGCCTGGGTGGCGCTGCTGCAGCCAAACTAGGGGGGGGGGCGAGAACCAGGGAGGGGAGCAAAGGTCACCCGCCAAGCTAAGCCAGTCTCCACCTCAGTCATTTTGAGAGGGGTGGACTTCAACTCCCAGAATTCCCTGGCTAGGATGAGGGAGGGAAAGAAAGGGAGGGGAAGGGAGGAAGGAAGAATAGGGAGAGGGAAGGGAGGGAGGAGGAAGGAAGGGAAGAAAGCAAGGAAGAATAGGGAGGAAGGGAAGAAAGAAAAGGGAAGAGGAGGAAGGAATAGGAAGTGAAGAGGAAGGAAGGAAGAATAGGGAGAAGGATGGAAGGAAAGAAGGAAGGATAGGGAAGCAAGGAGGAAAGGTAGAGGAGGGGCAAGGGAAGAAAAAATAGAGGGAAGAAAGGGAGGAGGAAAGGGAGAGGAAGGAAAGAAAGCAAGGAAGAATAGGGAGTGGGAGGGAGGAAAAGAAAGGGAAGAGGAAGGAATAGAAAGAGGAAGGAGTGAGGAGGAAGGAAGGAAGAATAGGGAGAAGGAAGGAGGAAAGGGGAAGAAAGGAAGGATAGGGAGAAGCAAGGAGGAAAGGTAGAGGAGAGGGGCGAAGGAAGGAAGGGAAGAAAGAATAGGGAGAGGAGGAGGGAAGGAAGGAGAGAGGAGGAAAACCGTAAGACTAGTCTAAATAAAAGTTTTTAAAAAAAACATTTTCTTTCCTCACCTTCTTGGCTCTCTCCGCTTTGTCCCGTTCAATCTTCTCTCGCACTCGCTGCCTGAAAAAAGGAATGGATGTGTGTGTGTGTGTGTGTGTGTGTGTGTCAACGCTGGAAGGATCCCCTTACTCATTTCAGAGTTGGGGGGAGGGGAAATGACATCCACCAATGCTGGAGATCTTGGAAGGATGGGAAGAACGTCGGGGGGGGGGAGGGACCGTGGGGCGAAGAGAAAGCAGAGGGACAAACCCCTTTTACCCAGAATGCAATGCTTCAGCCCCCCTTTCCCCCCCCCCCCCCCAGGCCCACAATTGAGCTGAATTCAACTTCCGGGCAGCCAAGAGGCCAACGACTGAGGGATGCTGGGAGTCGTAGTCCCAAGCTCCCCCTCCTGTTTTAAGCAGCTGTTTAGAAACTTTTGAGACGGCTGGACTTCAACTCCCAGGATGCCTCAGCCAGCCAGCAGCCTCCTTAAAAGGAGGCTGGCTGGGGGATTCTGGGAGTTGAAGTCCGCCCATCTTAAAGGCAGGAAGGCTGAGGTTTAGAGAGGGATTTGCCCCCCGGATTCCTCCTGGTGTACACGCCCGCGCTTTTTTACACCCGGCACCCCCCACCCAGGGCCCCCCCCTCACTTGGCCAGCTTCTCCTCCAGCTTCTCCCTCCGGCGCTCCTCGGCCAGCTTCTTCATCTCGTCCTCCTGCAGCTTCTGGCGGAGGAGGAGCAGCTCCTGGCCTTGTTTCCGGCGCTGCTTCTCCCGCTCGATGCTCTCCCGCTTCTCCCGCTCTTCCCGCTCCTTCTGCTTCTGGGAAATCAGCTCCATCATCCTGGGGGGGGGGGAAGGAACCGTTGGAGGGGCTCAGGGGGCACGGCTGCCGCCCCCAGCCCAGGAGGGAAAAAAGACAGGAAGGAAGATCGAGAGGGAGGGAAGGAAGGAAAGGAAGGAGGAGAAAGAGAGGGAGGGAAAGAAGGAAGGAGAAGAGGGAGAGAAGGAAGGAAGGAAGGAAGGAAGGAGGAGAAAGAAAAGGAGGGAGGAAAGGAAGGAGGAAGGAGAAAGAAAGGGAGGGAAGGAAGGAAGGAAGGAAAAGAGGGAGGGAAGGAAGGAAGGATGGAGGAGAAAGGGAAGGAAGGAAGGAAGGAAAAGGAGGAAAGGAAGGAGGAAGGAGAAAGAAAGGGAGGGAAGGGAAGGAAGAAGAGAGGGAAGGAAGGAAGAGAAGGAGGGAGGGAGGGAGGAGAAAAAGGGAGGGAGGGAAGGAAGGAAGAAGAGAAGAGGGAGGGAAGGAAGGAAGGAAAGAAAAGAAAGGGAAGAGAAAGGGAGGGGAGGGAAGGAAGGAAGGAAAGAGAAAGAAAAGAAAGGAAAGAGGGAAGAGAAAGGGAGGGGAGGGAAGGAAGGAAAGAAAGAAAAAGAAAGAAAGAGAGAAAGAGAAAGAAAGAAAGAAAGAAAGAAAGAAAGAAAGAAAGAAAGAAAGAAAAAGAAAAGAGGGAGGAGAAAGGGAGGGGAGGGAGAGAGAAGGAAGAAGAGGCCAAACCTTTTTGTCTGTTCCTGCTTCTCCTCCTCCGTCAGGGGATGCTGCGTCTCTCCTTCAGCCAGCTCACCTATGTGGGGGGGGGGGGAGTTCATTTACGGCCTTTTCAAGGGACCGGGCAAATAAAAATAATAATCTAACAATAATACAAACATTAAAAACAATGATTTTTAATGCTGTTGTCACTCTGAACAGTCACTAAACTGTGGTAAGTCGAGGACCACCTGCGCCAAGGGCCGCCAGCACACACACACACACACACACACACACACACACACAGAGATTTGTTCTGACCTGATCCACCCTCCACCGAATCCGGCGTCGTTCCTTCAGGGGTTTCCTCGGCGCCCAGAGCGGGGCCTTGCGGGGCCACGTAGGGATCGTCCAGACTGGGGTCGTTCTCATGTTCCACCAACCTGGGTCGGAGAGAGAGGCGCCGCTCAGAAGGGGAGAGGGAGGGGGGGGGAGGAAGGAGGGCGTCCGCAGAGAAAGGGACGGGCGGAGAGCATACCTACCAATCCATGGCCTGTTCAATCCCTTGGTTCCCGGTCAGCGCCAGGGCCTTCTCTCTGGGGGAAGAGAAAGCGTGGAATGTTCAACACACACCCCCAGGGAAAGCCCAGGATTTTGCACCCCGTTTTCCTGCTCTCCCTCCCCCAAATAAGGACGGCTCCGCCGCTCTGACAGCTCCTTGAGGAACAGAGGAGGTCGCAAGGAAAGCAACAAGGAAAAATTCATGCGGTGATGCTTCGTTTCTGATGGAAGCGACGGTTTGCAGCTCAGGGTTGAACTGTGGGGTCCCTGGTGCTCTCTGAGCTGGGTGGTTTCCTTGCAGACGTTTCAAGACCCAACTAGGGAACCTCATCAGTGCTAGGAGGAGGGTTGGCAGTGAGGAGGAGGAGGAAGAGAAGGAGGAGGTGGAGGATGATTGTGGGGTCCTTGGTGCTCTCTGAGCTTGGTGGTTTTCTTGCAGACGTTTCAAGACCCAACTAGGGAACACCATCAATGCTAGGAGGGGGGTTTACAGGGAGAGGAGGAGGAGGAGGAGGAGGAGGAGGAGGAGGAGGAGGAGGACGACGACGACTGTAGGGTCCTTAATGCCCTCTGAGCTTGCTGGCTTGGAGATGTTTCAAGACCCAACTAGGGAACATTATCAATGCTGGAAGGGTGGTGGTGGGAGTTATTTTCTATTTATATACAAGTAGCTTGCCTTTAGTGTTGTCACTTTACAACTCAATAAACAACAACACAATAAACAACCATCTAACCAAGAATACCCCCAGCAACACTGACAAGGCAAGCCACTGTGTATCAACAGGGAGAAAACCCTCCTCCCTTCCAGCACTGATGACGTTCCCTAGCTGGGTCCTGAAACGTCTGCAGGAAAACCACCCAGCTCAGAGAGCACCAAGGACCCCACAGTCCTCCTCCTCCTTCCTCCTCCTAGCACTGATGATGTTACCTAGTTGGGTCATGAAACATCTCCAGGAAAACCACCCAGCTCAGAGAGCACCAAGGACCCCACGGTTCTGTTTTCCCATGTTTTCTCCACATCCAGCTGTCCAGAAAAGCCTCAGTAAAAATCCAGCTACGCTCCTTTAAAAAGTAAAATTAAAAAAAACCTAAGCTACAGGTGTGCATTTCCATAACCCGCTTGCTTAAACAAGCTGGAGTCCTCCCACACACGTTCCCACACTTTTTCCGGATGGAGACATACGCTCGGCTCTGCGGGAAGCCCATCTCAATTAAACTTTCCAGCGCCGTGCTCTCCATCAGGCCGGCCTTACAACCGTCACTGCCAGCAAATTCTGCAAAATAATAATAATAATAATAATAATAATAATAATAATAATAATAATAATAATAAGAAGAAGAAGAAGAAGAAGAAGAAGAAGAAGAAGACATTAGGCCTTTGACACGCTGTGGGTTTTATCCGTCAGACTGTATTTCAGTGCAAAAATGTGTGTTTGTCCTTATCGCAGCCTTCCCTGGTTGCGTATATAATAATAATAATAATAATAATAATAATAATAATAATAATAAAGTTGGAAGGGCCCTTGGAGGTCATCTAGTCCAACCCCCTGCTCAGGCAGGAAACCCTATACCATTTCGGACAAAGGGCTGTCCAGTTTTTTCTTAAAAACTTCCAGTGTTGGAAATATATATATAGCATGTCTGTATGTGTGTCATGTATGTGCACACTTTTGAGAGCAGGCAACAAAATCTCATTTTTCATGCGTTCCAATGTGCCCACAGTAATAAAAAAAAGGACAATAAAGGTTATCTTAATGTGTTCTTCAGATTCTGCCCTCACCAATGTTAGATTCTTTATCTGAGGCTCAAAAATATTAGATTCAAAACTTAACAATTCTCTCATTGCAAAGATTTTTGTGTGTGTGGCTGGATATATAAGCTCCTGCCCTGAAGGCGATTCTGTCAGAAGACAAAGATTAGCTCCTAAAGAGAAAAAAAATGTTGAATTTCCAGCTCCCGATCCCACTTCTTATGTAATGTATTATTTAAATTGCTATGCTGCCCATCTCATTATCCAAAGGGAATCTTTTCAACAGGCAGCAAGCAAAGAGCAAAAATCACCCTGCAAAAACACTCTTTCAGCCTTTGCCCTGAGAATTTGGGGAGACCCCCCCCC